AAACGGTTAAACGCGAAAAAAATGGCGAGAAATAAACGAAACAAACCGGCCACGACGCTGTTCCATTTGGAATCCTTTGATGAATCGCGAGAGTTCCGCTCGATAATATGGATTCGAAAGAGGAGATCGAGAGATTCGAGCGAGAACCACCGATCGAACGACAGGAAAAATAGGATCACACACACGAAAAAGAAAAAAAAAAAAACAGAATATATGTATGATTTTTCGATTTCCCCTTTTCTCCGTTTGTCTGTGCCCCGATATAGATTTAATTATATAGTTTTTTCTTTACAATGGTTTTTTATGGTTTCTGTTGAACCAAGTCGATAATATTGCCCTATAGTAAGCTTCCTCTCGTGACTAATGACGATGTTTTAATGTGTACAAGTGACAACCGCGGCCATGATGATTTTCATCAGACGATATGTGTGCTTTTTATTGTATAGTTAACTTTACGACCGATCGACAATGGTGATGACGATGACGTGTATCAAGCAACATGGTCACGACGATAAGACGCTGATGATCGCGAGAGACAAAATAGAAGTAACAAAAGAAATGAAAAAAAAAGAAAAAAAAAAGATGAAATGAAAACTGAATACAACGTGTTTGATTGCTGGACAGTTAAATGAACATGTATTAATATCGTGTAACCCTCGTACGAGATATATGTGTAATAAAACATATTTATTGTCGGAACTTCTTCTTCAGCTTCCTTTGTTGCCCCTTTTATTATTCATACTTGGTCCTCTTATTCTTCCCTATTATTATTCCTCTTATTATTCCATATTATTATGGTATTATTCCCTAGTTTGACTAATGATTTTGTATAATCAAAAACTGACATTTGGGATAGTAAGAATTATTTTTAATTAATTAGAGTGTTGTAAAGAAAGTTGGGATTGAGATTAAGTTCGGATTAAAAAGTAAACAGGTAGAGTTCGAATCTTGTGCTGTCATTCTTAATCGTAATTATTATTAGTAGTTATATTTTTAATAGTGATTATTATTCTGGTCTAGTTTCCATTCGAATTGAAAAATAATTGACGAACATTTATTACTGATATTGTAATTCAAAAAATAATTCCACAAAGTACAGGAACCAACAAGAAGTGTAATATTATAAAACAAAATACAAAAGTCTGAAGAATAAAGTAATATATTTATTGAAACAAAAATAATAGAACAAAAAGAAGAAATTAAATTTATTTCTTATTTTCTTATGAAAAATAATGTTTGTAATTCGAATGAAATATTCATGAATGGTTTTACTATATGTTTCAAAATTATGTTTCAACTAAACAAGAGCTGATTTCTTCACATTCGTTCAACTCGAAACCTGAAAAAGATTCACCAAATTCACCAAGGTAGGCCATCGAGCGTTTCATAAAGTTGCGAAGTGATCTTGTCACCGCTAGGTCGGCCATTTCTTCCGCGTCCATACGGTGGCGCCGCCACTTTGACTCACCTTCGCAAGTGCTTTTCCAGCGCGGTATTTAAAATACAATGGAACCCTGTCCTTAAGATAATATGCCTCAAATAGTTAAGTAATAAATTACCTAAGTCATATAATATATCTAAATGAACTGAAAACCGATTATAATAAGGAAATTCAAAAAATAATTGCCACAGATTTTTGTTATTAGGAACAAGATAAATATTATTACATTTCATTCGCAATATCAGATTTCAGTTAGAAATTGTATCATAAATGACACGATTTCGCGTTAATAACAAATAGAAACTGAATTATAGATGACGAAAATTGTTTAGAGGTAACAACAAAAATACTCAGAAAAGGATGCAAATAAAACCACCAAATTTCCGCTTAATTATTTGTAAATATATTATTAAGTAACATCTATAATATAGTAATGAAAAACCATTTACATTAATAAGTATCGTCGTAATAGTTCATGTGTGTGTGTGAGTATGTTTTCCATCTTACCAACGACGAAACGCCATTGGTCACGCAAAGGTCGTGGCTTTTACATAAAGCTCGACGTTTCGAAACTCGAAATTCGAAACGACATAAAAATTCTCATTTTCGAGAATTCAATTGTACGCAGGAAGCGTGTCGATCGTCTCGTTTACTTATTTTTTTCGTTACTTCGGAAAATTCGAGGGGGTAACATCCACCCCCTCCACGCCTAACACTACTATGGTTCGAGATAAAGCTGATATCCCCCACTCTGCTTTTTTTTCTTCTTTTTCTCCTTTTTCGTATTTTTTTTTTCACTCAGTAAAAAAATGTATCAGGCATCCTTTACACGTTGCTATCCTTAATCTAACGTGGTTAGTACGGG